CGATTTTGGCGTATTAGATACGTATGAAAAAAAACAGAAAGAAAACAAACAAAAAATCAACGAGGAGGAGATACACATTAGTGACCTAGAAAAACAAGAAAGTCGAGAATTGATTGACTTGATTAAAGAATTCTCAGCCGTATTCTCCACGAAAATAGGACTTTTTAAAGGAACGCAACATCGTATTGAAGTTAATGAAGGATTTAAACCCAAACGTTTAAAAGCCTACAAAATTCCCGAGTTACTCATGGGGGAAGTAAAGCGTCAGCTCAAAGAGATGTTGGAACAAGATATCATTGTACCTTCGAACAGTGAGATGGTTAGCCCAGTGGTATGCGTGTTAAAAAATAACGGAGGCGTACGTTTGGCAGTGGATTATCGTTACGTTAACAAACATTCAACAAACGATGGATTTCCAATTCCAGATGTAAAGGACGTACTACAAAAGGTGGGCAACGCCAACTTCATCAGTTGTTTTGATGCACGATCTGGATATTGGCAAATACCCTTACAAGAAAGTTCAAGATGGTTAACTGCGTTCGTTTGCGATGAAGGTTTGTTTGAATTTAAAAAGATGCCTTTTGGATTGAAGTCGGCAGGAGTAACCTTCACACGCGCCATGAAGGAACTTACGAAAGATATATATCAGTTCACAGAAACCTACATTGATGACATTGCCGTGTTTTCTAATAGTTGGTCAGAACATGTCCAACACCTTCGAAGTTTTTTACAGACAATTTCCCATGCCGGAATAACGTTGAATTTAGACAAATGTCGGTTTGCGCAGAAGAGAATTTAGTTCTTAGGTCATCTAGTGGGATCCGGAAAAATTGAGGTAGACCCATCAAAGATACAGGTACTCGATCAGCTACAACCACCAAAGACTACAAAAGAGGTACGAAAATTAATTGGATTTTTTAATTATTTTCAAACATTCCTACCCAACCTGACTGCAACGATGCACCCGATCACCGAGTTGACTAAGAAATCACCATCGAATCGAATAATATGGTCCACCAACCATAAGAATGCATTAAATCTGATGATTCAGAAGTTGAAGGATGCCACCGTATTGAACACCATAGATTACCAACGAGAGTTTGGATTAATAACAGATGCAAGCGAATGTGCGGTAGGTTGTTGTTTAATTCAATGGGGCAACGACAAGAAAGAAAAACCTATTGCGTTTGCTAGCCGCAAACTGACCGATGTTCAAAAACGATGGTCCACGATCGAAAAGGAAGCATACGCGATAGTTTGGGCTCTTCAGAAATTCCGCTCGTGGATTTGCCTATCCAAAATCAAAATTTTTACAGACCATAATCCATTAACATACCTAACGGAATCGACACCAAAAAGTTCAAAGCTTACACGTTGGATATTGGCCCTTCAAGAGTATAATATACAATTCTGTTATCGTCCGGGTTCACGTAACGTTGCCGATTTTCTCTCCAGGATATAAAAGTCAAGAAATATTATTGTTTTTTTTTTGGACGTTAATTTTTGTTTTGTTTAGTTTTTATTTTTGTAAGTGTGATGAATGTTACATTCATCCTCCTAGGCGTTGGAGGTATGTAATGGAAATTGTTCCATTACATGATCACGTGGAATAAGTACTAGCACAAAGCACGTGTGCTTACCTAGGAGAAAGCGCCGTATGGTCACGTGGGTCGATTACTAGACCAAAGTACAAGCGCTTACCTAGGAGAGAGCACCGTGCATGCCTATAAATAGCCTACGCAAATAAGTTAGCTCTCTTTCCTTTATGTGGCTCTTGGGTCGGAGTTGACGTTAGTAAAATTGAGTATTGTATTGTTGCATTTTCATTAATTTGGTTTATTCGAATAATTATTTAGTTAGGTTTTAATAAAGGAGGATTAATAATATATCTGTCGTTGTGTTTAGTTAATATCGAACCCGTTACATATACATTTATATATATCTTTAATACTTAACAATGTGACAAATATAATAATTTTTTCAATATGTTTTACAACATAAATATAAAGTAATTTTACTAAGAAAAACAATTACATTGACTGATCGTAAGTGTTCTTAGAAGTATTTTATATTTATTAGTGATAACTAGGTAAAATTATTATACAAAAATTGAACAAATTTTCTGTGAATTGGAATCAGGAGTCGAGAGTAGAAGTCGAAAGTAAGAGTCGGAATTTTTTAATATTTTTTCCCAACTCCGACACTGTTTTGTAGAGTGCTCCACGAGTTTCTGATTAATATATGCTAAATAATGCGATTTCTAGTCCTATGTTTTATCATACCAATAAAACCTTTAAATAAAATATCATTCTCAACGTACTTTATTTTGAATTTATTAAAATTTCAATCGACATATTCTAAAATCATTTTCAATTAACTGATTTTATAATTATTGTTGAAATATTTTGTTGGATTCCTTTTATTGTATTTTCCTATCAGATTTATTTTAATCATGTTCAACTGTACCGTTAAACATAAATGTTTTTGATTTCATTGTTTTAATGTTTTGTTAAACGGAAACCGCAATATAAAAGTTAAAGAAAAAAGACATTGTGAAATTAAAATTAATAGAAAAACATCAATTTAATTATTTTAAAACGAAATGTGCCTGAAATGTGAGTAATTGTTTTAAGTTTTGTTATGATTTTATTTTACACATAGTTTTTTTCTTTAAATTTACATTTTATGAAAACTTATGAAGGCATAGTTTCCTCAAAAATTATTTGCAAAATTTCAATTATTTGTTTTAATTCAATTAAAGGTCGTATTTAAATTGAAGATGTTTTATGCTAGTAAGAACTCTTGTCTAAATATTATTATTATTTTATAAAACTTAATAAAATACTTAAATAAAATACCTTTTAAGAGAATCAACAGCCAAAGAGTTAATGAGTGAGACAGCAGTAGCAGCGGTTTTAATATCATTCTCTAGTGAAACCAATTCAATTATTTTTTTATATCTGAGACTCCCAACCCAAATGCTTTTCTACAAATAATTAATAAAAAAAATAATAAAAATTTTGATCAATAAAGTTGTGTTTGAACAACATAATAATAGATAAACTATATATATAATAAATAATAATCACACGCTAATGAAAATTATTTTTATGACTTGACAAGACCATAGAAAACATATACAACAATGGTGCATATTAAATTAAAAATAAAATAAAATTGATAGAGTATCAACTTGATTTTGTAACCAGTAAAGATTTCTGTTGATAAAATCTATCGAAACACTTGAACAATCTTCCAAATTATCAAAGACTGTTACTTGGTGTCTGTGTATGTAATTTAATAAATATTTTAGGATGTAAAAAAATTAATTTTTGATAAACTTTAAAAATTTAAATTTTACATATTGCTTGCATTCTATTACATTCTGATAGTTTCAATACTTATTCTAAATGATTAAAGTCCTTAAAAACATTTAGAGCACGTAACTTAGTTCATCACATTATTTAGAATATTAATACTGACCCTCGAAAACACCCACGCGCATTTTCAGTGCGCTTTAATGTCTTGCGCTATTCTATTGTTTGCCCGTACAATTCATCAATTTGAACTTTTCATATTGGTATAGTTTATTGATAACTTACATTAGCCTCTTGAAGATTTTATTTATTTTGATTAAGTTTCAATTATTTTATTTTTAGAAATTGCATAATATTTCAGTATATTTAGTTTTTTGTCTGGTATCATGTGAATCATAACGATCAGAAACCATTATCATTGACAGGCCTCCCTCTTGTTCATCGCTATAAATGATCAAAAATCTTAAAATGGGTTTTTTTTATCATCATTTTATCATTTAAAACTTCCAGCTCAAATGAACTTCAAAAACTTAAACAAATGAACTAAGAAAACTTTAGAAAAAAGATTTTATAGGTTTTAAAAAATGTGTACAAAAAATAAAAAACGGAAATGACAATTATTATATGGTTGTACCGTACGTACGTACCATATATATAACCAGTGTTGATGTAATTTCTCATAAAACGTACTTAAGTAAAATAATTAAGTATTTGTCAAAAAATGTACTTAGTTTCAAACATTGGCCGATCTAGACAACGGTGAAGGAACCACAATTTAAAAAAATGTAAAATTGGACGGAGAGGCAAAGAATGTTCGCTAATATGATTAATATTAAGATGGCGACTTTTTTTTTACCACGCAAATGTTGGTCTTAAAAACGGGTTTTTTTTCTCAAAAACTTCACCTTTTACTGGCGCAATAAAGAATCAAATGAAAGATAGACACAAAACTAAAATTACTAGGCAAATCTTAGACAACAACGTTGAAATGTTACATTACAGTGACAACCGTTATAATTTACGACTAGCCGAATCAATATTCATAGAACAAAGACATCCAATATAAATTATACAACAGCGTGCAATTGGAATCCTTCCCACTAATAGATTTAGAAACAAAGGTATCGTCGATAATGATGGCACGTAAAAGTGTCATACTGCACAAAGTTGAAGACCGTAATAACAAATTAAATGATCATTAAGTATTAAACATTAAACAAACATGGAATTAACATTGTAGAGACACAGAATATATATATACTTGAGCATTTGGTCACATACACAACGTACCAATTTGAACATTGAAAATGGTATAAGAATACCGAAAAAAGGTTTTTGTCCTATTATATTAATACTTAAATGTTCTATCATGCTTAAAAGAAATAAAAATTTGTAAGTCCCTAGATGACATATTTATACTAAAAAACGAGACGATGAAATCCAAAAGATTAAAGATCTCTTAACAACAAATTTATTGCTCAAATTCACCGTTAAATATGCGAACGAAGATTTAAAAATACAACAAAGAGGCAACTCTACATATTAAACATCAATGTATGTGAAGGCAATCAATATAAATTAGTTTTTAAAAAGGTACTGTGAATGCCCTGATAAATTTAAAAAAAGTGTCACTGTATCGCAAGTTAACAGAGCACTTAATCATTGCATCACTTGTCAACTGATTTATGCAGAATTGCAAGGAGTTAAACAAGTTTCAATCAACAACGGTTATAGCAACTGAGAGCAGAGGGTGTTGCCGGCATTCGTCCGTTATATCATCTAAACTAGCACGACGCAGGATTTCGTTAGATTTGATGTGGTCTTTCAGACTAATTCGTGGCATCCATCGGAGCATTTTCTGTCCGTTGCAGTTGTTGTTCCAGTTTAGTTGTCATTGGCCATGTTTCTGCACCATATAACAACACCGGACGTATCACAGATTTATAAAGTCTTGATCGTAGTGGGATGTCACGCCGCATCAATATAGAGGCAAGGAAATGCCAATTATACGGTTTTGTGATTTCTTCCATCACAGTTATAAATAGCAGTGAACTGAAAATCATGTCTTGGTGAACTCCAACGCCGATGTCAAAAGCATCTGTGTTTCCAACCGTTGTGCTGACGAAAGTCTGAGTATTTGTATACATTTCCATCACAAGTCAAACAAGATATTCTGGAATGAATTGTCGACGTAGACTCCACCTGATTGCTTCACGGGGAACTCGATCAAATGCTTTTTCAAGGTCTACAAAAATGTGTGATAGTTGTTGATGCTTTGTGAGGTACTTCTCTTGCAGTTGCCGATAGATGTGAATTGCATCAATTGTTGATTTTCCCGCTAGGATACCAAATTGATAATTTCCGATTGTGAGGCACGACATTAATTTTCTCTTAATGATTTTCTCGACAATTTTCAGGGAGTGTTCTAACAGACGTATACCTCGATATGATGAACAATGGATCACTTTTGCCATTGTATAGCGGAACTGTCAAGCTATAGTTCCATTCAATCGGCATTGAGCAATTTCTCCAGACTTCTTCACGGCAAAGTTTTAGTAACGTTTATGTACCTGATGTACCAGATGCTTTGATAATGTTATTTGTGAGTTCAAAGGGCTCTGCTGCCTTTCCATCCTTTATAGATTTCAGAGCTTCTGTAAGCTCCTCTACAGTGATGTTTGGAATTGTACCTTCGATGGGTGGATCGTCAAAGTTGACATTGATGGGATTTGTTTTATTTAACAGACGGTTTAAGTATTCTTTCCACTGTAGCTTGATCTCATCTTGTTCAAGAATCATCTCATTTTTGTCGTTTTTGAAACATGAGGCACCAATTATGTCTTTTTTCGTACGTTTTGCTTGTTTTGCTATACGACAAAGAGATTTCATTTGTTCACCTTTGCGTTTTGCATAGATATTCTTTTCACGGAAAATTTTATGGTCATCAACAGACTTTAATTTTTGCCATTGCCTGTATGTAGCTTTCTTTTCAGTTATTGTATTTTATACACTGTCATTTCACCACCAAGTGTCCCGTTCATGCTGACATTTTGTACCAATTTTCCCACAAACTGTAGTTGCAGCGTTTATCAAAACGGTTTTGTATGAACACCAATCTGTACAGGATTGCAATTGGTGGTCTAACTGTGTGGCGACAATCTGTTGGAATTTTTAACGACGAACAATTTAATGCCACTCAACCAATCGGCCTACAGGTGCTACCACTCAACAGAAACTGCATTGTTTCATGTTTTGTCAAACATGTTTGCAGGCATGGATGATCGGAAGATATCATT